ATCCGTTTCGGGCTCGCAAGGCGTGGCAGACGTGGCACCTCCTCGACACCGCAAGGGGGGCGCGGTGGGGGTGGGGTCGCCGTCCGTTTCGGGTTCACAAAGCGTGGCAGGCGTGGCAATGTCTCGTCACCACAGGTGGGCGCGCTCGAGGTGGGGTCGCCGCTCGTTTCGGGCTCGCAAAGCGTGGCAGGCGTGGCTCATCTTCGACACCACAGGGGGGGCGCGCTGGAGGTGGGGTCGCTATCCGTTTCGGGCTCGCAAAGCGTGGCAGGCGTGGCACATCTTCTACACCACAGGGGGCGCGCTGGGGGTGGGGTCGCTATCCGTTTCGGGCTCGCAAAGCGTGGCAGGCGTGGCACATCCTCGACACCACAGGGGGCGCGCTGGGGGTGGGGTCGCTATCCGTTTCGGGCTCGCAAAGCGCGGCAGGCGTGGCACATCCTCGACACCACAGGGGGCGCGCTCGGGGTGGGGTCGCTATCCGTTTCGGGCTCGCAAAGCGTGGCAGGCGTGGCACATCCTCGACACCACAGGGGGCGCGCTGGGGTGGGGTCGCTATCCGTTTCGGGCTCGCAAAGCGTGGCAGGCGTGGCACATCCTCGACACCACAGGGGGCGCGCTGGGGGTGGGGTCGCTATCCGTTTCGGGCTCGCAAAGCGTGGCAGGCGTGGCACATTCTCGACACCACAAGGGGGCGCGCTGGGGGTGGGGTCGCTATCCGTTTCGGGCTCGCAAAGCGTGGCAGGCGTGGCACATCCTCGACACCACAGGGGGCGCGCTGGGGGTGGGGTCGCTATCCGTTTCGGGCTCGCAAAGCGTGGCAGGCGTGGGACACCACAGGGGGCGCGCGTCGCTACTCGTGGCAGGCGTGGCACATCCTCGACACATGGGGCGCGCTGGGGGGGGGTCGCTGGGGGCAATGCGCGGCACAAGTGGCACAACTTCGACACCACAGGGGGGGCGCGCTGGGGGTGGGGTCGCTATCCGTTTCGGGCTCGCAAAGCGTGGCAGGCGTGGCACATCCTCGACACCACATGGGGCGCGCTGGGGATGGTGTCGCTATCCGTTTCGGGGTCGCAAAGCGTGGCAGGCGTGGCACATCCTCGACGCCACATGGGGCGCGCTGGGGGTGGGGTCGCTATCCGCTTCGGGCTCGCAAAGCGTGGCAGGCGTGGCACATCCTCGACACCGCAGGGGGGCGCGCGGGGGGTGGGGTCGCTATCCGTTTCGGGCTCGCAAAGCGTGGCAGGCGTGGCGCACCCTCGACACCACAGAGGGCGCGCTGGGTGTGGTCGCTATCTGTTTCGGGTTCGCAAAGCGTGGCAGGCGTGGCACATCCTCGAATCCACATGGGGCGCGCTGGGGGTGGGGTCGCCGTCCGCTTCGGGCTTGCAAAGCGTGGCAGGCGTGGCAATGTCTCGACACCAGAGGTCTGCGCTGGCGAGAGTTCGCGTCCCATGCAGAACTGTAGACAGTTTGGTTCAAGCCGGCTCGGCGCGCTTGCGTTTTCACGCAGGCGTGCCCGTAGTACCTGCGTGTGGCAGTCATGCCGCCCAAATTGCCATGGACGCGCTGCCACCCCCGTGTGTGTTTGGCGCTGAAGAACGCAATGATTTTGATGGTTTGCGGGGTCAGCGTGGAGAGCTCTCGCAGATGCGCAAGCGGAGTTGTGCTGTCCGCATTTAATGCGTACCGCCGCCAGCCTCACAATTGGTGGCCCGATACGCTCTACGCTCCGAACTTTTTCCCGATGAAGGATGGAAGGCGGGGAAAAGCGAGGATGTTCAATCAGTAGTGTGATGGATGACAATATTGGGAAAATGAAAATCAGACGCATAATACTTAAATTATGTATGTGGGGTTCCTCGGTAGCGTAATTCCAGGACAGCCCAAGATGGCCTCCAGACGGCCTGAGAGGCCCCCAAGACGCCCCAATATGGCTCCAAGAAAAGCCCCTTCGGGGGCCCCGAACGGCAAACGCCGTCCCATCTCTGGAGGACAACGCATATGTTTGGTATCATCGTGTTGTTTGTCCCACCAACGTCCCAGGCGGCTCCGATAGGCACCCGTGATCGCCCCAAGGCCGCCTAAGAGGCCCCCAAGAGGGCCCCAAGAAACACACGGTGGCCCCGAGGCGCCCAAGTCGGCCCAAACGTGGCAGGAGGCCGCCCAAACGCCCCCCGAACGGCCCTCCGATCGCCAAGGTGGCCCCCCAGAGCATCTCGGGCGGTCCCCAAAACGCCGCCTGTGAGTCCCCCCGAAGGTTTCCAAGTAGCCCCAAAGAGGCCCCCAGTAGACGCCAACATGGCCCCCATGAGTCCCACGAGCGACCCCCTATAGGGGCTACAAGGTATGCCTTGCGCGCCTCGAATCGAAGACACCTCCATACCAGGGGGTGGACAAACACCAAGTATACAAACACTCTCCCCACCATTTCTCCTCATCATCTTTCTTCTCCTCGTGATTCCTCCTCCCACTCCCTTCCCGACCCCTCCCTGCCCTCCCCTGCTTGCTCTTCCATTTGCCCTCCCGCCTTCATCCTCTCTCACGCTCTTGCTCTCCTTCATTTCCTGCTGCCTTCTCCTCCGTCTCCTTCCTCCCGCTCTCACACCACCTCCCTCTGCCCTCCATCTTCCTTCCTCCCCCCTCTCCTCCCTCTTTCCTGCTGTTTCGTCGGTCTCCTCATCCCCACTCCCTCCTTCTCCCCTTCCTGCCCCGACTCCTCGACCAAGTCAGAGCGCAACGTGAGTCCGTCGCGCCATTCTGCCACCTGATCCACCGCCCCGCAGGCGTGGGTGGCGCCCCAGTCGCTTTCGCCACCTGCGCCGCAGGGGTGGGTGGCGCCAAACTGCCACCTGCGCCACCGCCTTTGGAGGCAGGCGGGTGGCGCTCTCTAAAGGCAAGGCGCGAGACCGCTCCAGTCGAGCTGGTCTCGCCAGCACGGACGAGGTCGGCCGTTCAGAACGGTATTTTGAGCAGAAACCGCTTCTTCTTGACCGAGAGATTCGCGGGGGGGTCGCAGTGTTGGCCAGGACGCGGAAGCCGGGTCGCGGGAAAGTCGCCAATCCATCGGGTTTCATGTGACGGAAGGCGCGAAGCCGCCCCATCAAAAAGTTTTGGTTGATTGCTCGCACCGTGGGCCGCCAGAACGTGGCCCATCAACGAGTTCTCATTTGCCTGAGGACACGAAATCGCCCCATCAGAACCCCATGGCCGTTCTGCCGTCCGAGCCCCATCAACCCCGGACCCCGGGGGGGCCCCGATTCGAACATCCAATCGTATGTGGTGATTCTCCACACCCTTCGACGAAGAGAGGCTGGGAGGTTGGGATGCTACTGTGGTCGCTGTCATCGGCCGACTCGCGATCCATCTCAGTGGTGCGTCGGCTCGTGCTGAGTCGTTGGTCTGTTGAGTTGTAGTTGGTTGTGCTCACGTCGCCGTGCGCGTCCAGGAGCAAGCGTAGCGGGCGTAGCTGCCGTTGTCGCCGTCGTGAGTGTGCTGGCCACGGTCGGGAGCCGTCGCAGTCGTGGGCGTCGGAAGACGCCACAAGAGGACCTGAAGGCTAGATTTTTACTCCTGGGCCGTCCTCGTCCCCAGACCCGAGTTTGAGGGCAGCCTCAGCATGTCTTGTTGCTGCGAAATCTGTCTATCAACTCCGGCTTTTTGCGGAGAACTCGAGGTCGGAGACTTGGTGGTCGGGTCCTGCTATATCCCCACGCGCCTGAGAAATGTTTACGCCGATGGTAACCCCTACAAATAAGAGGAAGGCACAGTACACAGTAGGTGAAACAAATAGTGGTGTATACGCTGGGTGCCTGCAGGGAGCTCCAGCACGCCCCATTCTCATAGCAGATCCCGATAGAGATCATCGCAAGCAGATGGTCGGACCACATCGTAGTGCAATTCGCAGCAATCGAGCTGCACAATCCAAGCATGTTCCGTATTGCTCTGCTCCAGAGTCGTCGGGCAGCCGCGCAGAAGGGGAGGACCCGTTTAGTTCTACCTCTTCCTCCCCTCTCCGCTTCCGTGCCCTGCTCTGGCTGACCCTCATACCTTGGCATCGCTCGGACGTGCGCATTTTTCCTTCTGCGAGGACCGTCGAGGAGCATCCTTGATCATTTGGCGAAAAAACCATGCACGAAACCGACAAAAAAAACACAGGGAATGGACGTCCGAGCGATGGCGAGGGGAAGGAGGGACCCTCACACGCCCAGAGGCCATCCGCATCCGCACACACACAGCGCCACAAATCCAATTGAAGCAACCCTCTCAAGGAGGTCATTGGTGCAAAGCCCGTCGGTCCACTCCCGTGCACGTGGAAGTAAATTTTCCTCCAGGTGTCATCGCACTGCTGTGCGTAATCTCCCCGACCACTCCACGTAAGCATTATTGTACTGGCTCGTCGAGCTTTGGTATGCGTATTGCCCCGGCTCTAGGAGGCAGGCTCAACAAGCGTGCATGATCAGAGTGCCTGTTTGATGCCCCTACGGCGGTGTCCCACTACACCTGCAAACTGGTGCAAGCAACGCAAGCATACACACAACCGTAGTTGAATTATCTCCCACAGATTCCCCAATTCCCCGCCCCGTTTGTTGTGTAGACTGCCCACAGTCAGTCAAGGGGAGGATGGGTGGGTGAAGGTGCCTGTGTTGCCTTCTCCCCTCCACCAGCTTGTGCATGTGCACAGAATGCACAGCTCTGGAGACATCATGCTGGACTGTCCATGGCGCATCACCGGGGAGTCGGCTATCGTGCGCGGACTCGACGTGGACCGTGTCTCCGTTCTCCTGTTGTCGGTTTTCTGCGCGGATGCTCGACCACGCTTCGGGGCTGTGGGGCCCGACGACGACCACGCCGCCCTCGACCACGACGGCCAAGGCGACGGCGGTAATCACGACGGCGACGATCACAACGACGATGACGACGAGCACGACGACCACGCCCACGACCACGACGGCCTCGACGCTGCCCGTGCTCCGCGTTTTTCTCCGGCCTCGCAGGCCTTGTGCGAGACCGGCTTGCTCTCGACGCTGCGCCCGGGCATCTCGGCGCGCAGCGTTTTGCTGGTGCGCGGCGCCGACCCCCGCTGCGGCGCCGTTCGGCGCCTCCCTGCGCCTCCTCCCAAGACATGCTGGCTTCGTGACACACATCGCAGCGGGAGGCTTTTGGATGGGTTCGGCCTCTTGGGGTCATGGGAGGGCCCTGGGTCCGTCGAAAAACAGCTCAGGATGAAAAGTCTGCCCTGGAGAACGGGTCGGGACTTCAGGGATACAGCATCGAAAACAAGTCAAGACAGCATGTTCAGGCTTCGCTCCGATCTAGACTTGTTCGCCATCGGTTTTGCTAGGTTTTCGGACGTTTTCGTTGGTTACTTAGGTTTTCCTGCCTCGGGGTGTGTTTCAGGAGCTGCACTTCGCAGAGATCCTTTGCGGAGGTGCTGGGGTCACCCCGAACGGCCGTTTTGGGCCAGAGTTATCACCCGAAAGCTGGGGGATGTTGATTTTGGCAAGCCCGATCCGATTCGATTCCGATATGCCGACGACCCGACGAGGTCCGGTGCTCGCAAAACGTTGATGTCCATCTTGGCGCGACCGATCCGACTGAATCCTGGCCCAGTGCCGATGCGGCCCGACCCGACGCAAACTCCGATTCACCCCGATTTCAAGTTCGATGTTCACTGAGCTTGCCTCTCGATTAACAGATCGTAAAAGCGACATGACCATGGGCCTCCGACGGAGACTGTTGTTCCCAACCATCCTGTGGAGTTGGGTCCTCGTTTTGAAGAGAGAGCGCCCCGCGTTCCTCACTTCTCACTGCTCCTCCCCCTCCCTCCTCCCACTCCTTTTTCTCCCCCCCGCATGTCTCTGTTTCGGCACACCCCTCACACGTTTCCTGACCCCACAAGGAGCTCCACCGAATGCCCTAGTGGCAGAATTCGCATGCTTCTCCCCCACTCAGCACATCGTTCCGTGGCCCATGGGGAGCTCCACCGAAATCCCCAGTGGCAAAGTTCGCATGCGTCTCCCCCGCCCAGTGCAGCGCTGAGTGGCCAACAGGGAGCTCCACCGAAGGCCCCCAGTTCCAAAGTTCGCGTGCGTCTCCCCCGCCCAGGAAAGCGTTTCGCGGCCCATAGGGAGCTCCACCGAAGGCCCCACAGGCGACGTTGGCGCGCGGCTCCCCCGCCCAGTTTAGCTTTTCGTGCCCCATAGGGAGCTACACCGATGGCCTGAATGGCAAAGTTCGCTTGCATCTCTCCCCCACCCATTACAGCGTTTCGTTGCCCATAGGGAGCTCCACCGAAGGCCCCAGAGGCAAAGTTCGCATGCGTCTCCCCCAAGCACATCGTTTCGTGGCCCATGGGGAGCTCCACTGATGGCCCGAGTGGGAAAGTTTGCATGCGTCTCCCCAGCCACGTACAGCGCTTCGTGGCCCACAGAATGTTCACCGAAGGCCCCGGCGGCAAAGTCCGCATGCGTCTCCCACACCCAGGCCGATTGGGAGCTCCACCGAAGGCCCGAGTAGCAAAGCTCGCATGCGGTGCCCCCACCCAGCACAGTGCTCCGTGGCCCCACAGGGAGCTCCACCGGAGGCCGAAGTAGCCAAGTTCGTATGCGCCTTGTCATGGCCCTGGCCCTGGAAACGGCAGGGCCGTTTTTTTACCGTTTCCCAAAAAATGTCCATTGAAAATGGCAACGGCAAAAAAACGGCGACCGGAACCTGCAAAAAAACTGCTCCAGGATTGGAACCGGAGCCGGAACCGGTAAAAAAACGGCGACGGAACCGGTAAAACAACGGCGTCGGAACCGGCAAAAAAACGGCAGAACGGAACCGGTAGAAAAACGGCCTTGTCGTTTCCAGGGCCCACTAAGTGTCATGGCCCATCGGGAGCTCCTTCGACAGCCCCCGTGGCAAAGTTCGCGTGCTTCTCCCCCGCGCTGCGTGGCCCAGAGGGGGAGATCCACCGAAGGCCCCAGCGGCCAAGTTCGCACGCGCCTCCCCCAGCCCACTACAGCCGTTCGTGGCCCATAGGGGGCCCCAGTAGCAAGGCTCGCATGCGCCCCCGCCGCCCAGTACAGCGCTGCGTGACCCACAGGGAGCTCCACCGAAGGCCCCAGTGGCAAAGATCGCATGCGTCTCCCCCGCCCAGGTTGGACTGTCGTGCCCCGTGGTGAGCTCCGGAGGCCCGATTGGCAAAGTTCGCATGCGTCCCAAACGATACCCACATCTTCGATATCCACAACTGCATATGGTTGTGTCATTCGCCAGGCTATTTGTTTTTGGATTTCGGCGAGTTTCTACTATCATATTGCTTCTGGGGGCCCCATTCTGGGGCCCCGGCAATCAAAGACGGGCCAGCGCTGAAGATTTTCCGCCGCGGAAGGGTCCAGAGTCTCTGGCGCCGAGGACTGAGAACGCAATTTTTGCGAAAGTCCTCGCTGAGTTTTCGCGTCGGCGTCCCACCCCCGGATCCCCGCCACCTCTGGCGGCGCCTCCGTCGGGCGCCGTCCTTGGCGGGCTCCCTCGTGCCGGGGGAGAACGTGTAAAAGTGTATGTGTGTTGTGTGTGTTGTGTGTTGCGTGTTGTGTGTTGTGTGTTGTGTTGTGTGTTGTGTGTATGTTGTATGCTGTGTGGTGTGTTGTGTGTGTGTTTGTGCTTGTGTTTGTGTTTGTGTGTGTGTGTGTTTGTATGTTGTGTGTTGTGTGTGTTTGTGCTTGTGTGTGTGTGTTTGTGTGTGCTTGTGTTTGTGTTTTTGTTTGTGTTTGTGTCTGTGTGTGTGCTGTGTTTGTATGTTGTGTGTTGTGTGTGTGTTTGTGTGTGTGTGTTTGTGTGTGTGTGTGTGTGTGTGTTTGCGTTTGTATTTGTGTTTGTGTTTGTGTTTGTGTGTGTGCTGGGCCGGCCCGCTCGGGCCTCTCGGTCCACGACCTGCCCCACGCCGCGCCGCTGCGCGCGTGGCCGCGCAGACGTGTGCCGCGGCCTCCTGAGACGGCAGCCGCCTCCGGGAAGCCGCGCCGCCTCCTGTGGGAGGCCTGCCGGAAGCATCCACAGGGCAGGGGCGCCGAGAGGGGGGGCGCCCCGCCCAGAGCAGAGGAGCATCGAGCCCCCCGTCGCCCGTGCCTCGCCGATTGGGGCCCGGATGCGAAGCGTCCCGGCTCGCCTCTATAGTCCTACCAGACAATGTTCTGAGAGCCTTCTGTGGATTCCGCGAAGTGATCTTAGAACATTTGTGCTTGGAACTGCTTTGTTTTTGCACATCGGGCTTATGTTCTCAGAGCATTGTTTCTGTGATTCGAACATCGTTGGGTTCGAAGAACATCTCGTGGTAGGACTATAGGAATGCCAGGACGGTCGGTCCCTGCTCAAGAGAGGGGGGGCGCCCCGCTCAGGGGAGGGAGCATCGAGCCCCCAGTCTTAAATCGGGCCTGTCCCTCCTACAGGAGGAATATCAGAAAACAGTCGAAAAGTAGTATGGGGACGATTTTTTGAATATTTGTTCGCCATTTTGGGGTGTTTTTGACTGTTTTGTATTTTTCGTCCAGAATTCCCTTTAGGAGGACAGGCCCGACTTAACCCCAGTCGCCCATGCCTCGCCGATGGGGGCCCGGATGCCCCCACATTCCCTCCAGTCAGGTGGTTGCTGCTGGTATTCTCGGAGGTCGATCGAGTCAAGCAGTGGCGAAGCGTCCGGGCTCGCCTATAGCCCTACCACACACTGCTCTGAGAACCTTTTGTGGTTCCCACGAAATGTTCTTGGAACAGTTCTGGCTGGGACCGTCTTGCTTTAACACATCGGGTTCATGTTCTAAGGGCATTGCTTGTGTGATTCGAACATCTTTGGGTTCGAAGAACATGTCGTGGTAGGACTATAGGAATGCCAGGACGGTCGGTCCCTGCTCAATAGAGGGGGGGGTGCCCCGCTCAGGGGAGGGGAGCATCGAGCCCCCAGTCGTCCATGCCTTGCCGCTTGGGGCCGGGCTGCCCCAACATTTCCTCCAGTTAGGTGGTTGCTGCTGGTATTCTCGGAGGTTGACAGGCCTCCTGCCCTGACACGTCGATGCAGGAGTTGGCCGTCTTCGGTTCGCGAGAGAGCGTCGCGGCCGTCATCTTTTCCCGGGTCCAGGTCCGTCGGTTTCGGTTCTGGGCCGGTTTCACCAAAGGAAGGTTCACTAAAGGGAGGTTGTCCACCGCCGATATTCGGTATATTGCGTCGGGCAGATTTGAGGGTCAAAGTCAGGTTATCAATTTCGCTGCATCCGTAGCCACAGCGACCGAAGACGATGGACGACGGCAAGGACGACGACGACGACCGTCGGACCGACTCAGGACGACGACCAAGGAACGACCATAAACGACAACGACGAATCACGGCGACGGCCGACTAACAACGACGACGACGACGTCTGGGAGGTTTAGTCGGGGTCCGTCTGGGGCGCTGGGGAGGGTTCAGTCAGGGGTACATCTGGTACATTCGTGGGTTCATTCGTGATTCATTCGGGTTCATTCGGAGGATTGCAGGTTGGTTCATTCGGGTTCATTCGGGTTCATTCGGATTCATTCGGGTTCATTCAGCGGTTGGTCTTAAAGCAACAGGTTTTGCAGGATTCGGAGCCCGAGGTGGTACATTCGCTTGCAACCGCCCTTCCCTTCTATATTATGAAAAGCGGAACCCCCATCTCCGGGAGGGGGGTGGAGAGGGGAGGGGGCGTTGCGTTCTGGAAGCGCCCCTTCCTAGAATTTCACCCAGCCCGCGCGTTCTAGAGCTTGTCTTCGGCCGGTCGCGTTCGGCCTTTTAGACTTGGCTTTGCAGAATTTTACGGCGGCGTCAGTCTCGTCTTTGTCATTCGCCGCTGTTTGTCGGTCGGTCTGGCGTCCGTCGGTCGTCGCCGTCGGTCGTCGTACTCGTCGTTCGGTCGTCGTTTGTCGGTCGGTCGGTCGGTCGGTCGGAGGTCGTTGCCGTCGTCGTTGTCAGTCGGTCGCCGTCGTCGGTCGACGTCGTCGTCGATCGCTCGCTCGGTCGTCGTCGGTCGCTTGGTCGCTCGGCCGCTGGGTCGCTCGTTTGCCGTCGCTGTAATTCGTCGGTCGTCGCCGTCGGTCGTCGTTCGGTCGACCGGTCGGTCGGTCGGTCGGGCAGATGCAACGGCTGTCGCGTGAGTAGGCAGCTCGAGTGAGCCACGCCTCCACCACGGTCTAAACGAGTTACAATTGATTGACGGACACTTTTACACGTGCGAAGGAAGCCCTGTGGCACAGAGGAGGAGGAGGGGGAGGGGAGGGGGAGGGAGGGTGGGTGAAACAAGGAGCAGCAGCTCAGCCCGGAGCTGCTGGCATTAGCCTCATTCCGGCAGCCCGGCCAGCGCCGCGAGCCGCCGGCGCAGCGCGGCACGCCAAGCCGCCTCGAATTGATTGACGGACGCACCTCGTAGAAGTTCTCACTAGCCAATTCGGCACCCGACTGCAGGATCGGCGGGGTGTCTCCACCGGGTGCCCATCGCCGATCTGTGGGCGACGTCTCGTCGACGCTGGGTCACGTCGCCCCTCCCCCTGAGCCGTCCCCGCCCTGCCGGCCCCCCTCTTACAGAATGAGCAGGGACCGGCCACAACGCTGTTTGGCTTGCTTTGGGCCTTCGTTTTGTTTTTCGTTCATGTTTTGGTAGTTGCTTCGTTCCTTTTTTCGTTGTTGCTTTGGACGCCTCGCCTCGCTGGTCGTTTCGTTTGGCACCGGCTTTCTTTAAAACGCTAGTTTCAAATGTTGGGCCTCGGTTCTTTTTTCGTTTTAAGCGCCATTTCGTTTTAAGCATCGTTGTGGCCGGTCCTTGTATTATATGAAGGAGGACCTGTCCCCTCTGAGAAGAGGCTTCCCCCTGCCGTACTGAAGGTGACCTCCCCCCATGCCCTGGACCCCCTCGGGTGTGCCCGTGCTCCTCTTGAGAGAGAAGGAGAGAGGAGGAGAAGAACGGATGCCAGCAACGTGCCAAGGCAGAGTTCAAGATGGATACACGAGCACTCCAGTGGTTGCAGCGACTCAAGCGGGAAGCGCGGTGTGTGTCGCCTGGGTGTCAGGTGTTGGCCGTTCTGCGGTCTGCTGTAAGGGCTTGGCATCGCTCGGACGTGTGTATGCTTCTCGGGCAGGGAGCATCCTGGATCATCTTGCGAACCAGGGAAAACAACGCGCGAAACCGAACACGCAACGGGGACTGGACGCTCGAGCGAGGGCAAGAGGAGCACCTGCGCAGTGTTGCGGTGCCCTCCCCCACGGCGAGGTCGACGACGACATTCTCGAGCTGAATCGCTGCCGTGAGCACGGGATTCAGACGTACCCCGCTCCGCTGGACGGGGGCTTGCAGGACCGCGTGGACGTACCTTTGCCGAGCGGCTCTTGCCTCCAGTTCTACGAGTCGCACTTCCGCGCCGAGTCGCCGCTCAGCGTGGTGCGTGTGTGTGTGTGTGTGTGTGTGTGTGTGTGTGTGTGTGTGTGTGTGTGTGTGTGTGTGTGTGTGTGTGTGTGTGTGTGTGTGTCGCAGTGTTCACTGCAGCGCGAAAGTGACAACGGCGGGCATGTCCAGCATGCGTGAGCAGCCGGCGCGGGTCGCAGCCTGGCTGTCTGTATTTGTTGGCCGCAGACGTCTGGACCTTAGCTTGTCGCCCGTCAAGGCGCAGTCGGAGTCTGGGGGCTACAGCGAAGACGCTGGCATGAAGACCACTGTGAGTTCCTGAGGCGTTCTCCTTGTCGGGCCGCCCCCTAGATCAAGGTCGGGGAATCTACTCGTGGCCGAGGCTCTCCGTGGCGTCACCAATCGCCCCATTCGTTCGTTGTCCAGCTTTCACGAGGACTGCATCCTGGGATATACCTGGTCCGCTGGTGCGGATCGCCCGTCCGGCCGCCTCGAGTGGCCGAGTCCGCTCGCTCCTTGGAGCCTGGGCGGTGGTTCGCCGAGGTGCGGCCCGGTGTTGCGGGTGGCTGTCCGGGTTCTCCTTGGGGCCAGCCTCTGTCGTGGACGGTGCGCAGTGGGGCGCCCCATGCCGTTAAGAGTCAGTTGAGGATAAAAGAACTCCTAGCCCCGATAACACGATGAAGACGTAGCCTCACTGAGGGTACCACGGAGAAGCAATCTGGGCGGTTTGGTTCGATACATCTGCAGAGACGACCCGCTTATGCATAGTTCCCCACCATCCTGCGCTGTTGGGTCCTCGTTTCTTGAAGAGACAGCTCCCCGCGTCACTCCACCTCCCGCTGCCCCCCCCCCTCCTCCCGCGCAGTCCGCATGGCGGCGCCGCCCCATTTTGGTACACCCCTCACATGGTGGCCCCATCGGAGGCTCCACCGAATGCCGCAGTGGCAGGGTTCGCATGGAGTTCCACCCTCATCCCGGCGCACCCCTCACACGGTTCGTGGCCCCATAGGGAGCTCCACCAAAGGCCTCAGTGGCAGGGTTCGCATGTTGTTCCACCGTCATTTCGGCGCACCTCTCGCACGGCTCGTGGCCCCAAAGGGAGTTCCATCGAAGGCCCCAGAGGCAGGGTTTGCATGTAGTGCTACCCCTCATTTCGGCGCACCCCTCACACGGTTCGTGGCCCCACAGGAAGTTCCACCGAAGGCCCCAGCGGCAGGGTTCGCATGCAGTTCCACCTTCGTTTCGGCGCACCGCTTACACGGTTCGTGGCCCCGTAGGAGGCTCCGCCGAATGCTTCAGTGGCAGGGTTCGCATACCGTTTTACCCTCATCTCGTCGCAACCCTAACACGGTTCGTGGCCCCAAAGGGGGTTCCATCAAATGTTGGATTGGCAGGTGTTCGCATGCAGTTCCAGCCTCAGTTCGGCGCACCCTTCACACGCTTCGTGGCCCCATAGGGAGTTCCACCGAATGCCCCAGCGGCAGGGTTCGCATGCAGTTCCGCCTCTATTTCGATGCCCCTCTCTCACTTGGTTCGTGGCCCCATAGGGAGCTCCACCGAAGGCCCCAGCGGCAGGTTTCGCATGCAGTTCCACCCTCATTTCGGCGCACCCCTCACACGGTTCGTGGCCCCATAGGGAGCTCCGCCAAAGGCCTCAGTGGCAGGGTTCGCATGCAGTTCCGGCCCTCATTTCGGCGCAATTCTCACTTGGTTCGTGGCCCCATAGGGAGCTCCACCAAAGGCCTGAGTTGCAGGGTTCGCATGCAGTTCCACCCCTCATTTCCGCGCAACTCTCACTTGGTTCGTGGTCCCATAGGGGGCTCCACCGAATGCCGCAGTGGCAGGGTTCGCATGCAGTTCCACCACCATTTCGGTGCCCCTCTTATTCGGTTCGTGGTCCCATAGGGAGCTCCACCAAAGGCCTCAGTTGCAGGGTTCGCATGCAGTTCCACCCCTCATTTCCGCGCAACTCTCACTTGGCTCGTGGTCCCATAGGGGGCTCCACCGAAGGTCCCAATGGCAGGGTTCGCATGCAGTTCCACCTACATTTCGGCGCACCCCATGAGGAGTTCCGCCGAAGGCTCAGTGGGAGGGTTCGATGGCACCACCGCGCCCAAATCGGTACACACCCCTCATACGTCTCGTGGCCCCAGAGGATACTCCACCGAAGGCTCCAGTGGGAGGGTCCACATGGCACCACCGCGCCCAATTCGGCACGCCCGTCACGCGGGTCGCGGCCCCATAAGGAGCGCCACTGAAAGCGGTACCCACAATGCGGTATCCGCCGCCGCATATGGTTGGGTCTTTCGTCAGGCTGATGTTTTTGGCCCTCTCCTGGATCAGGTCCTCTCCCAACGGGTAGGGGGTCATCTGATTGGACCTCGGAGTGCAGGGCGGCCGATGGCCAGTCGGCGGCGCGGCCAGGGGGGCGGGCAGAGGGGGCGGGCCTCCCCAGGAGACTCAGAAGGCCTCCGGTCCTCCAAGAAGCTTCCTGAGACTCCACCGAGGCCCAGTGTGGCGGCTTCTCACAGGGCGGGGCAGCTTCTGAGGAGCCCCGCGGCTTTCTGAGAGGGCCGGCCCCCTCTCGCTTCCCTCCCTGGCGCGCCACTGGGTCGAGGCGCGGGGGCATTCCAAAAAGTGCCATATCTTCGAGTTGCCATCTCTTCCTCGGCGCAAGCTCGGCGGAAGTAGAAAATGCGGCCCCAAGAGATGAAACCGTTTTTGTGTTCAGGGTTGCCGGAATTGGACAGACAGCCACGGGCATTCGTTTTCGTATGTCCTCTGGGAATATGTCGCAAGGAGGGTGTCAAGGGTCACAGGCCGATGCGTTCAGGCGAGCTCGAACTTATCGGACAACCACATACGACGCACACATCTGGCGCATGTCAACTGCATACGTCCACTTAGTGGCGGCAAGCGCGTGTCATATTAGGTTCCGCTCCGAATTGTCTCGGAAGTACCAGCTGTTTTCCTATGGTATGCTTTTTCATGGGGAGGGCATCCAGAGGACGCCGCATGCGACTTCGCTTTTGGTATGATTATGTCATCTGCATCGTTATAGTGAACTTTCTTTCGCAGTTCATGTATTCGCTCGCTTTTTTGGCGAGTCACTCAGATCGGGGGGGCAGTGGGTCACGCGTTGTGTTTCGCATTGCAGGATACATCCGAGGCAGCTGAGATGCTGATTAACCCAACACGCACCCCATAAGAGCAAATGTAAAGAGGCTGTTCGAGAACTAGGAGGTCGCCTATAGCGACCAGAGGTGAGAGGGATGAGATCACGGCCATGCGCACCTTAATTCCCCACCGTTTTGTGGTCTTGGGTCCTCGATTTGAATAGAGAGTGCCCCGCGTCCTCCTCATCTCCTCACCCTCCTCCCTCCACTCCGCTTGTGAACGATTTCGGCGCACCTACTACTCCGCTTCGTGGCCCCATAGGGACCCACGAGTAGCTCCACCGAAGTTCCAAAGGCGATGTTCGCATGCGGTGCCCCCACTCATACAGCGCTCCGTGGCCCCTATCAGGAGTTCAACCGAAGTTCCAAAGGCGACGTTCGCATGCGGTGCCCTAGCCCAGAACAGCGCTTCGTGGCCCCACAGGCACCTCCACCGAAGGCCCCAGGGGCGACGTTCGCGTACAGCGCGTCGTGGCCCAATGGAGATGGTCCACCGAAGGCTCCAGAGGCGGCGGTCACATGTTGTGCCCACATCCAGCACAGCGCTTCGTGGCCCCAATAGGGGACCACCACCCAGGGCCTCTGAGGCGATGTTTGCATGCGGTCGCCCCGCACACTACAGCGCTTCGTGACCCCATGGGGAGTTCCACCGAAGGCCCCCGTGACAACGTTCGCATGCGGCTCCCCCAGAGGACCCAGCGGCGACGTTCGCATGCGATTCCCCCGCCCAGTGTAGTTTTTCGTGGCCATGTAGGGCGCGCCACCGAAGGCCCAGACGCGACGTTCGCACGCGGTTCCCCCACCCAGTGCAGCGCTGCGTGGCACCAAAGGGATTTCCGCCGAAGGCCCGAAGGTGACGTTCGCATGCGGCTCCACCGCCTAGTGTTCCGCTTCGTGGCCTCATGGACCTCCACCGAAGGCCCCAGCACCAAAGTTCGCATGCGTCTCTCTCAATACAGCTCTTCGTGGCCAGATGGCGCCCCACCGAGGCCCCCACAGGCGACGTTCGCACGCGGTCACCCCGCCCAGTCATCGTTTGGTGGCCCCATAGGGAGCTACACCGAAGACCTCAGTGGCCGCGGCCGGCCGCATGCGTTTTTCCCACCCAGTACGGTACACCCATCACGTGTTTCGTGACCTCATTAGGAGCATCTCCGAAAAAGGTATTCGCAAAAAGCATGTGGGTGGACCCTTCGCTTCGATATGGTTACCCCAAACATCCTGTGGTGTTCGGTCCCCGGAGCGTCGCGCGTTCTCTCTTCTCCTCCCCCTCCTCAGTACATGCCGCATGTTAGCAATGTCGACACACAGTGCAGCGCTTCGTGGCCCCGTAGGGAGGTCCACCGAAGGCCCCAGAAGCGACGTTTGCGTGCGGCTCCCCCAGTGCGGCGTGTCGTGGCTCGGCTCCTCCGAGTGCACCAGGGCCGACACTCTCGGAGGGACGCCAACAGTACACCACCACCAGCCATGGCCAGGTTCATCTTGGGCCCAGGACTGGTGTATAGACCTCCAGGCCTGGTCCAGGAGGACCTGTACACCAGTCAACGCCCCGACTCTACAGCGCTTCGTGGCCCCATGGGGAGCTCCACCGAAGTCCCCAGAGGCGTCATCCGCATGCGTTCCCCCGCCCAGTGCAGCGTTCCGTGGCCTCATAGGAGAACTCCACCGAGCATCCCAGAGGCCACGTTCGCGTGCGGTGCCACCGCCCAACGCATGCGGTTCCCCCACCCAGTAGAGCGCGCCATGGCTCCATAGGGAGCTACACCGAAGACCTCGGTGGCCGCGGCCGCGTGCGCTTCCACCCAGAACGGCACACCCCTCACGTGCTTCGTGACCTCATCAGGAGCTCCACCGAGAGTGGCAACCACAGTGCGGTACCCACAGTTCTTTTGTTGGGGCGTTTCGCTTGGAGATTTGTTCCCTGGAAGAGGCCGTGGCCGTTCGGACCCAACATGACAGCGAGAGAGCACGAGTCCTGCAGCAGTGGTAGGGAAGGCTCACCCGAAGGCGGTCCTGGGCTCCCCGTCCCCCAAGGTGGACTCTCCTGCGACGTTGTTTCCTTTCTCTTCGAGCCGTGTGGCGAAACGCTACTCGAGGAGGAGGAGGAGGAGGAGGAGGAGGAGCAGGAGGAGGAGGAGGAGGAGGAGGAGGAGGAGGAGGAGAGTGCGCAGCGCTCTCTTGTCAAGCGCGCACGCTGTGAGGGTGGCGGCATCAACAAGAGGCCCGTTGGGGTCTCTGCTCGTCCACTGGTATTGCTGCCTGTGCTTCCCCACCCTGAGTGCTTGGCAAGTTTTCTCCAGTCAACTTGTGGTGGCAAATCCAAAAGCATCAAGGCACACTTCTGTAGGGACACTTCTGTAGGGCCAGACTTATCGAGGCAAACCCTTAAATGCCAAGATACCTCGATGGAAATGCCAGAAGCTCCAGCTCGAGTTTGGGGATCGCAGAAGTCGTCAAACCCTTAACGATTCCGAGGACGACGAGTTCCGCGAGGTCTGCCTTCTCCTCGGCATCCAGGTCGGGACCCGCCGCACGCTTCCGCCCATCCCTTCGTCCTCTCGCTCTCGTGAAGCAAGCTCATGCGTCTTGTTGCTCACAGGCGCTCCAGTGCCCGCGGGCATCTGGGTGCGCACAGTCACGGAGGTGCTCAGGCGCCGCTGTGTTCCAGGAGTTTGCTTCTGTAAGGTCTGGGAGATAACGGTCGTGACTGGCCCTCTCCCTCCCTCCTCCTCCTCCTCCTCCTCCTCCTCCTCCTCCTGTCCTCCCCCTCCTCCTGTCCTCCTCCTCCTCTTGTCCTCCTCCTCCTTCCCTTTTCCTCCTCCTCCTCCTCCTCCTCCTCCTTGGCCTTGTCGCCACGCGAGCGCTCCAGGGGGCGCGTCTCCTCCTCGGCCTTCTCCTCCCCCCGGATCACGTCACGCTATGTTGCCGATGTTGGCACAGATGTCTCGAGAATTCTGGGAGGATTTACAATAAACGCCCACAATCATCGATCTTCGAGCCTCTGACCAAGCTCCTTTGGGGGGGGGGAGGCGGTCCTGGCGTCCGTCGGGCTTTCTTGCCTTTTCTTTCGCTCTTCCGGACCTGGAGCCTCCGGAGGAGGGACCCCGATCTCTGGAGGGGGAGGGGGAGAAATCCGGGCGAGGGAGGAACGAGGAGGGAAGGGGAGGAGGAAGGAGGAGGAGGAGGAGGCGGAGGAGGAGGAGGATGAGGAGGAGGAGGAAGGAGGAGGAGGAGGAGGAAGGAGGAGGAGGAGGAGGGGGGGGAGGAAGGAGGAGGAGGAGGAGGAAGAGGAGGGAGGATGAGGAAGGACGAGGAGGAGGAAGGAGGAGGAAGAGGGAGGAGGAGGAAGGAGGATGAAGGAGGAGGAGGAGGAGGAGGAGAAGTGTGCACATTTTTGCACATCTCGTCGTCGGCCGTTTTGGGGGTATGCAGGGGAGCCGTGGGGCCCGCGGAGAAGCCTCGGGAGGCTTCTCTCAAGGCTCCCGGAGGTCAGCGGAGGCGACCCTTCGGTCATGTGGTCGGCCCCCGCTCACCTCGCAAGCACGCAGCTCTGCTCTCACGCGTGCGCCGTTTCGGATGCGGAGGTCAAATTCTGATTTTGCCATGGTCCGAAATCCGGCTTAGTCCGGCCTGATCCCGCTGAATCCGGCTTCATCCCGCTTGATCCCGCTTCATCCGGCTTAATCCTGCTTCGTCCGAGGCCCACTCCGGCGTAACAGCTCCCAAATGGGGCCCACTCCTCCTTCATTTTTCCGACGAAGGCCTCCCAGTAGTTGCTTCCTAGCGCCGTCTTGTGGTCAATGTGGGTGCTCTCTGGCGCGCTGCCGTCCTCGCCGGCTCTGGCGGTGCGCACGGGGGCGCTCCGGTATTCACGGCGGCCTCTTTGGCCGTGACGTGATCGATGGGACGAACTCCTTGCCCCCATCACCCCAATGATCGCGAATGATAAACAGGTTCAAGCAAGTTATGTAAATGCGTTGGTGCGCTTGTTGAGACCACAACCTGGCGTGCGCACAGGGTGGCCTCGTTTTCGTCTGCCCTCTTCGACATCCCACTGCATCGTGCCCACCGCAGCAGTGGCCACTTCTGGCGAGACTTTTCTCACGCCCGTGCAACGAGCTCCACCGAAGGCCCCAGTGTCAAAGTTCGCATGCGTCCTCATCCAGTACAGCGTGACGTGGCCCACAGTGAGCTCCACCGAAGCCCCCATAGGCAAAGTCGCATGCGCCTCCCCCACCGAGTACAGCGTTTCGTGGCCCATATGAGAGCTCGACCGAATGCCCCAATGTCAAATATCGCACGCGTCTCCCCCACCCAGTACAACGTCTCATGGAACATATAAGGGGCCCCCGAAGGAAGGCTCGCATGCGTCTCCCCAATCCTGTTCAACGTCTGGTGGCCTGCAAGGGGGCTCCACCGAAGGCCCCAGTGGCGAAGTTCGTACGCGTTTCCCCCGCCCAGAACAGCGTGACGTGGCCCATAGGGATCTCCACCGAAGGCCCCACTGGCAAAGCTTGCGTGCGTCAGTACATTGTTCCGTGGCCCATACGGAGCTCGACCGAGGGCCCCAGTGGCAGATACCCAGATACCGCACGCGCCCCTCCCACCCAGTGCAGCGCTGCGCGGCCCACAACTGCGGCGCTCACGAGTGCATTATGGTTGGGTCCTTCGCCGGGCTAGTTCGCCTGCCCGCCCCCCCCAACAAAAAAAAGCCTTCCCCCCCGGCAGAAAACAAGAACAATATATATATATATATATATATATTGCTGTGCTCCCCTTCCTCCCAGCCGGCAGCCAGGATGCTGAAGTACGTGCCCACTTCTCAGGAGGGGAGCAAAAAACACAGACACGAGGAATCGTCGACTCCCCGGAAAAAGTCCGGGAAGAGATGGGAAGGGGGGGGGGGGGGAAGACGAGAAGCCAGAACATGGGGGAACATGTAGGGAATCTTGGGATCTGTGTGTGTATTCATCTGTGTGGGGTGGGGGGAAGGCGGAAAACCAGAAAATATTGCAAATGTAGAGGGGCTCCTGGGATCTCTGTGTATCTTTATGTGTGTGTCCCTGGGCCCCTTCGACTCCGGGGATCGGGCAGGACTCCAGTTCGCGGGCCCTTCCCTCGATCCATCCGGGGCGATGGGGCCCCGCTCGCGGCCCAGGCTCGCCGCGGTCACGACAGCCCAGCCCCGTGCCTCGCTCAGCGCTCCCGTGTGGCGGCTCGATGATTTGCACCCCCTCTCCCTCCCCCCATCCCTGCTTCTCGATCCCCCCTCCTCTTCCTCTCTCTCTCTCTCTCTCCCTCTCCCTCTTCTCTCCTCTTCGCTTCTCCTCTCCTCCCCCTTGCTCTCCTCTCTCTTCCTCCTCTCTCTCTCTCTCTCCTCTTCCTCTCTATCTCTCCTCCTCTTTCTCTTCCTTTCTTTTTCTCTCCCTCTCCCTTCCTCTTGCTCGCTCTCCCGGCCCACCCTCCCGCGTCATCGTCTGCCTCCCGTCCCCCCCCCCACCTCTGTCGTGAGTGGCCACCCTCGGTACTTTTTACGGCCCGTGCCGGGAAGTGCGAGAAGCTGCCACGCCGAGCGGCTGCAGTGCCTGGAAAAGTTCTGATCTTCGCGCGCAGGAGGTTGGCGCGGCGTCGGTGCGGGCGGTCAAGGTTGAAGGCCGACAGTGGAGACCCATGCCAAGAGACACCCTGCTTGCCTCCAGGGTGCCCTGGGTTTCTTGGGTTTTGATGGTTTCTCAATGGAAAGCGTGGCGTTCCCACACCAAGAGTGAATCAATGGACGTCCTGGGGTCTCAGGGTTGGATTTCTCGTGGAAGATTTCTTGTGGACTGGCCTCCACTGTAGGGGGAATCCGCCAGCGACGCATGGGGCGACTGTCAAGTATCACTCGGGGGCCCTCTGCCGCAGTGACCTTTGCTGCGGGCCCAAGGGGGTCCCTTCAGCACTGGCGCGTGCGTTCGGAGTTGGCGCCCTCGCGCGGCCACCTGCCGCCGCGCACCAGAGGTCACTCCTTCGTGCAGGTGGGAAGGATCCGTATGCAGGTTGTGTTATACGTGGTTGACTTTTCTTGGGCTCGAGGCCGCTAGTGGCCTGAGCCAGGACGGTCATGATCAATCTCTGCTGCCTGATAGAGGAGTCCGCTTCAAGGGTTGAGCAATCTGACCAGTGTCGGATAATGACCTCCACGTCGACAGGACGGGAACCAGCCGAACTTGTTCCAGAGCAGTCGCAGGGGAGGATCGACGTTGCTGTTCCGCATAACCCAGCAGAATCATCAGGCGTGCTTGGAGCTGTCGAGGTCGAACTTCGGTTGGCGGGTGGGCCAGATGGCTCAGCAGTGTTACTTGGCCTGCGGCGTCCATAATCGGAAATTGGAACATATACATGACCAGTGGCGGGCCGTTTTTCAATCCGGCGACTTTTCGAGGGTCGGGGACGACGTGGGGGGGTCTGGTGTATACTTTTTTGCCGCATTCGTGGGGAAACAACGAAAAATGTATACACCAGGATCCCGTATACACCAGGGTCCGCGTTCCTGTGCGAATTGCAGCGCAGGGTCGGAAAAAAGCGTCGGTGTATAGAGTTGGTTCCCCTACATACACTTATTTTGACAACAAGTGCAAGCGCTTTTGCTCAGGGGCGTCGACGGGAGCGGGCTCGACTGAGGTGGGGGGGGGCACGGCCCCCCTTCGCCCATGCGCCGCCCGTCGGGACTCTGGTGCCTCACCATGCCCAGGAGCGGTCGGTCGCGCTGATGTATACCGTGGGCGGGCTGCCGGTCGATCGGCGATGTATCGTCGATTCCAGGTCTCCCTTCGGCCCCCATCATTCGGCGGCAAGCTCGGGGGGGAAGTGAGAAGGGGCGCGCCCTCTCAGAAGGCTCGGAAGTGCCCCAGCCTTCTGAGAAGTTTCCGAAGCCTCCCCCGAAACACACAAAGAACTTCTCGAAAGGCCCGCGGCCTTCTGAGAAGCCCCGCCGCCTTCTGAGAAGGCCTTCTCCTTCTCACTTCCCCCCCTCGCTCGCCGCCGAATCATGTGCTCCCAGTGGCCCACCCAACTACCGTACAGTCAATACGCTGAAGTAATGACCAGTTGCCGCTCGGGAGGGGCTCTGTTTTTTTCAGGCCGTTCCTCGGAGATCCCTGTCGGCGATTTTCGTTTCTTGCTCAGCCTTCTTGGTGGTTAGCGTGACGGCTGTAGGAATCACGGGTCCTTCGAGGTGCTCTCTTAGCCGAGCTCCGACTGCAGACGACAGATGATTGATCATTATAGCATGATCGCATGAGACAGTCTGCGTGCGTTCGCCGTGCAGGGAGGGCGTCTTGGAGGGAAACGGATCCTGCTCCTCCTTCGCCGCTTTCGGGCTCCCGGAGGCCCTCCCCTGGCTCAGGCACCGTCAAAACAACGAGTCAGGATGAAAAGCTGGTCCTGGCTTGGCATCGCTCGGACGTGTGCTTTTTGGTGGGGGCGAGGACCATCGAGGAACACATTGGATCATCTTGCGAATACATACGCTCGCG